AGCCCGTTGCCGTTGAATAAACCTGCGATGGGCATCGTCCGGGGGCTCATAAGCTTCCGCCATCTCTTCAAATATAGCCTTCAGCGTAGTCTTTCTCGCGGCTTTAATGGAGCGGAAAAACCTGACCGATTCGTCATCTAGAAGCGTCGGCAGGACTTCCAGAGCCTCCGCATCCGTCCATTTTGCAGAGCGGACTGCCGCCTCAAAGCGGCAGGCGAACGCACTCCAGTTGCCGCCAATGGAGAATTCCTTGAGCGTCGTCAGCCGATGGCTGCGGGTCCCCGAGTCGCCGTAATTCGCTGACGGTGTTTGACGCGGTGGCGACACAATAGCGTCTTCCCGCATAGACAAGATGGTGGCTTCCCACGGTGACAAGATGGCGGCTTCCCGCGGTGACAAGATGGCAGCTTCCCGCGCTTCGTCCCTGGCCCCGCCCAAGATGGCGGCGTCTTGCCGCGTGGCGGAGAGTGCGGGAAGCGTCGCGCGGGCCCCAATGGCGGACAGCTCCCCGCTCGGGCGATCCGGCCTCGCCGCCGTCGTCACCAGGGTGCACAGTTGTATCAGCGTGGCCCGCAGCAACTCGAGTTGAGCCGTCACGTGCCGCCAGCCTTCCTCGGCGCCCGTCGAAGCAGACGGCCCCGACGATTTCTTGCACCCCCGGCGTGTCGCCTGTCCGCACTTCGCCCCCTCCTTCCATCGTCGGGAACGCCGCCTCAATTGGAAGCTCGTCTTCGTCGTCCGAGGATGGTGCAGGTACGTTCTTCTTTTTAAGATGTTTAGACATCTTGGTTCACTTCTGACACCAGTGTAATAAAGGACTCCTTCACAAGATGTCACTTTCCTCGCACCCGCTGGTCCCCGCTCCGACCCTCGCCATGCGCCCCGCGCACGCTCCGTGTGGCTCTCTCTCCGTCGCCGTGCGCTCCGCGCACGCTCCGAGTGGCTCTCGCCACGCCGTCTCCTCCGGCCCCTCCGCGTGCTCTCTCCTCACCCGCCCGGGCCACACCGCCCTTCGGGTACCCCGCACACGCTGCTGGCTCTCTCTTTCCGTCGCCCGCGCACGCTGGACCCCAGTGCGCCTATCGGCCTCGACCACGTGGCAATGGCGCCAGCGTGGCTCCCTCCGTGGTTCACTCTCTTCTCCTCCCCTCCTCCTCCGGCTCTCTCCTTATATTCCCTCTCTCACGTGACCCAAACTCCACCTTCTCTTACTGCCCCTGTCTCCGCCCCCACTCCCCCCGACGACCAGGCTCCGCCTCTCCAATACACCGGCCCGTGTGAGCGGTGTGGAGGCAGCGCCCACCCTGTCCTTGCTCGCATTACATATGTGTCTTTGTAAGTCCATGTGTGTGTGTAGGTCAATGTGTGTGTGAGTCTATGTATGTGTGTGTGTGAGGCGATGTCTGCAGGTCTATGTGTGTGTGAGTCGATGTGTGTAACTCCATGTGTGTGTGTCTAAAGTAGGTGTCTGTGTAAGTCGACGTGTTTCTGTGTGTGGGTCGATGTGCGTGTCCGTCTTTTTCGCCCGGGCAACGCCGGGTACTTACCGCTCGTAATAAAAATAAAGTGAATACATTTTTTTAAATAATAAAAACAAAAACATTAATGTAGACTGTAGCCTGGTTCTTAATCAGAGTGTATTGTTACTGAAAGAACCAAGAATAAGTCTACATTATAGACTGCCAGTACCCTCACGCAGGTTAAGAACCAGGCGACAGTCTCCATTATAGACTGCCAGTATGCTCACCGAGGTTAAGAACCAGGCTAGTCTACATTCTAGACTACCAGTACACTCAGCTTAATAACCATTATTACAGTCTACACTATAGACTGCCAGTACATTTGTAGTGGGTTCAAGGAGAGTGGAGACGGCTTGTAGAGGCAACACGTTTATTTACGATAACAGAAACAGTCCCTAATACAAAGGGGTAACAGCCCCTTTACCCACTACCTATCACTGGGACCACAGGCTCTCTCCTCCGGCTAAGGGTAACCTATGGGAGGCTACACTCACCCGATCCAGCCAAGGTACGGGCCTCGACCACTGGCCCTCTCGGTCCCGGCCCTTACAAGGACGTCAGGCTCCGGGGGTTCCCAGGGTCTCACCACTGGCCCTCTCAGTCCCGGCCCTTAGAAGGGCAGCGGGTCTAGGTGTTCCCAGGATCCTAGGCTGGCTGGTCTTCAGGCTTCGGTCTGGTCCGAGACTCGTCCAGAGGTCCGGCTTTTATATACCTACCCAGGTGTGTCCGCCCCTGGCCATGCCTCCCTTCCAGAGAGTTCCAGGGGGGGGGGGGCTCGGGGGATCCGAGAACACCCCGCAGCCCCCCCCTGCTTTGGGGCTGGGGAATGTAGCGACCCTGTCTGCTACTGCAGGTAAGTACATGTAGCTCATTTACAGCGCTACACATTGACCAAACTTGATAATCAGGCTACAGTCTACATTATATTGCCAGTACACTCACTCCAATTAAGAACCTGGCTACAATCTACATTAATGTTTTTATTAACTTAATTTTTCTATTACTTTTCTATCTACGTGACTTTACCGAAAGAACCAAAGAATAAGTTACTCCAAGTTTACTTAGCACTGAATATATCTGGAATATTCTGGAAAATAGGTACATTTCTAAATATCACTGTCCTGGTCACAAAAGTAAAGTTTGTGGGGAATAATAGCCATTTTCTGTACTTTTGAGGCATGAGCAATTAGGAAATAACACTACCCAGGAACAACAACAAAAATGTTACAAAATGTGATCGGTGTCAAATACTTTTGGTAAGTCTTTTAAGAAAACATGAACAAATATAGTGGCTGTTACGTTTCTATAGTATTGGCCTACACGTGACTGACTTGATGAACCCTGCCTCTAACCATGAAATGAGATTATTTTGTACGAATGTCTCGCACTTTTGACAAGATGGAGAATACAAATTGGTTCGTAGTTCATGAGATTGTTAAAGATCCACCTGGAGTGGTTAAACGAAGACCAATTTTCCATAACCAACTAATGTGAGATAATTTAAATACTTGGATTGTAATAGATCTCGATGCCAACTTCAAAAGGTTTGATTGGTCCCATGTGGTGAGGTCCAGAGGGATGGAGAATTCGGAGGCCGAGAGCGCATGAGCCAATTGTATTCATATAAGGCACAGCACAATTATAAGACAGGATATTTCTCTTTCACCGTGTCTATAAAACTGTGGAAAGTTCACAACCACCAGATCTCCATACAAAACATATCTACCACCAGAAAAATGGTGCAAATTACTCAACTGCTCGGGTCAAATCTGGATGTGGCAAACCGAATTTATCTTCCACCTACCTCAACAATTTTGCCTCTCACCGTGTCGGTCAATTTTCCCAGCAGAGAAGATGCAGACATTGACACTTAACACACTTAATGATGCGATGCAGCAGTGCAGACATACAACTGCAGCTGCGAAGTATTCCCTTATACATGTGTCGCTGCTGGAAAAACATTAATAATTATAATTTTCGATGCACTTGCCCTCCCAGTATCTATAAACTGGAGTAGCAGATAAAGCGGTATTCTACCTTTTTTGATTATCGAGAGTAAAATTATCTTCAAGCAGAATTAACCTGCTTTGAACAAATATCCATTGTTTATAAAATAACCCAAGCAAGTAATTAAGTATAACATTGTGATGGCTATGCTCGCAGACGTCACGGTTAAGCCAGTGGGGGACCATACAAGTTAATACAGATTATCGTGAGAATAAACTTGTCTTGCATCTCAAAGATCGAGAAATCCCAATGGACTAATTTATCCCACTTTCACAATAGTCCAGTGAACAATGGCGAGGCAATTCCTAGCATGGGGCCACAAGCAGTCCCTCGTCACGGAAAACATCAGTGGTGTCCAAACGCATATCAGACCTCCGAGGTCAAAAAGTCTCAAACGGCGTACGTGGCCACGCTTGGACACCGGCACGTAGGCATCTCAGCAGCCCCACGCTGGACTCCATCGGCGTTCCACTGCCCCCCCCCCCCCCCCCCCCGTTGGGATATTTGACTGTTTACGAATCAAATCGTGCAATGTATTGGGTTCAGTTTCCAATTCCTCCTATTCGATTAACGAAATAAGCACGCCATATATCTTCATATTATTAACGTTCTCCACAACGCCGATTGTGCCGTATAATTTTGCGTCAAACGTGGACCCATATCCTAAAGGGTGGGTCCTTGCCGAGAACGTCTGGCAGCTCTCCAGCATTGGTTCAAGCCAGCCCCACTCTGCCCAGACACCGAATGTCAAAGCCAGCCCGATTTGCTTGGGTTGAACTGATGCTGCCGATTTGATGCACACCTAGGCCTCGGGGGACCAATGGGTTTGTGTACAAATCACCAGAACGCAAATCAAAAGTACTTCAATCAAAGCAAAGAAATGGGATGGTGGAATCAAACAGATGTTCAGTAAACCATTGCGCATATATACTAGACAACCATTGGTGTGAAAAACGTATATTGATATATTTCGTCAGTAACACTTTTGTTATGTAAAAAGATAGTGCATGCTTGTACAGTCACCATAAATATGGTATGTGGGAAAAAATACGAATCGAGTAGGTGTACACACTAAAGTGGCGACTGTAGTCAGGGACACTAATGCTTGGGCGCTATCTGGCACATCGCTGTGCAACGTAAACGTGGGTCTTAATGTTAAAGTTAATAAATCTGGATTACACATTATAGTGCGGTACCACGGTATGAAAACCCGAGTGGGTCTCAAGTCGAGTACGTTATTGCAAAAGTAAATATTAGGGTATTACGTACTTTTGCTGTAATACTCAGATTGAAACCCAATCGCGTTTTTCACTGTGGTAACCTCGCCATAACGGACTTGTATCACACCAGGACGTCGAGTATTGTTCCTCAAATGTGAGGAAAAAGCATTTGTAAAATCAATAGGATGAGTAAAAGGACTTGCGTTATTTCTATTCCTTATTTTAAGTCTGTAATAATGAACACATCGTGCAATTCATTATAAATTGTTTATTACTCAGGGCTGTACAGGTCAGAGTTTTATGGTTGTCTTAACTACGAAATGTCTGAATTTAGCAAGGACGTAACGATAATCGCACACAAAAATATTACAAGTTCACGAATAAAAAAAAATTGGAGACAATACCGCAAAACTCTTTTTTAAAAAGTGGTTCCAATCACAAGTTTCAAAGCAGAGTTCATTGGCGTGAATGTCGGGATGTCATATTCCACTGTGGGCAAACATCTGAAGCAATAACTGGGAAGTCGCACAACAAGCCGCAAATATTTCTTTTCCGATATATTTGCTTGCCGCGTAATTATGAACAGACCCACATACAACGCAGCTCAACGTCATGCAAACGTGGTGGCATGTTTCTATTTTCTCAAAGCACACAGATGAAGACGACGCGTGTTGTGCGAGGAGCCTCGTGTCTCGAAACCGAAGGAAACTGAGGCCGAGAGAGCTCGGCAATCGGATGATCAAGGCATCCAGGTCCCTCACTTCTGCTTGGGGGGTGGCCTGTGGGAAAGGAGGGGGGGGGGCAGAGCACATGAACAGTAATGACACCATCACCACACAGCATCTTTTGCTTTTGTCATTTTGGTGACCCGGCTCCCCACTCGGAGTGGTGACCCGCACTCGAAAATTACTCTTCCCTTGCTGCTCTCACGAGTTAGCACCTGATGACCCGCCCATGCACCTGGAACCCCCTGCCCCCCGCCCCCCTCCCCCGTACCCCCTCACCTGTAGGTGCCGACCACCACAGCGTGGTCCCTCTCATAGGGCTCCAGCGTCAGCTGCTCCTGGGGCTTCATGTTCTCCTGCGCCATCTTCTTCACCTCCTGGGCGAACACAGCCTCCGGCTGAGCCGTCGAGTCGATGCAGTTTGCCTGGCGCAAAAAGGGCAAAGACAAAGATCCCGCAGTTATAGCCTAACACCGATTTTTCGGGAAAGTAGCGTCAGCGAGCACATGTGAAGGCTGGCACGGCCACACGAGGAGTTGGATGGCCAGCACCATGCCTGGCTTTCGTCTCACCAAGTACTGATATTTACACACCATACTAGGTCCTCATTTAACGCTGAGTCGGTGTAGGGGAGGAGCACTTCAGAGTCACTGGTGTTCGCCGTGAGCAGAAATCGAACTCGGATCTCTAGGTTTGGCGAGTAGCGTGTTAACCGCTACACTGCCGCTACAAACAAAGAACAAAGATCCCCCATATAGCCTTAACAGACTGTAGGGGCAAGTGCTGTTAGCGAGCACCTATGAAGGCCGGAACGGTACACGAGGGGGTGGGTGGCCAGCACCATGCCCGACCGCCTTTGTCTCCCTAGTGGCAATGTTTACACACCGCACCAGGTACTCATTTGAGGCTGAGTCGACCTAGGGGAGGCCCGGGACCAGTTCAGATAATCGTCACTGGTGTTGGCCGTGAGCGGGAATCGAACCCGTGTCGCCGGGTTCATAGCGCAGCGCGCTAACCGCTACACTATCGCTGCCGCTACCCACACATGCACACACGCATGCAGACACACACACAGATGCACACGCACCACAACTAACTTCACCCTCTGCTCCATGTCAGTCTACATTTCAGAGGCTCCTTTTCCCCAGTTACAAACCCAAAACCTCCATTAGCGCACAGATGGAGGCTGCTTTAAACACGTGCACTGCCATGAGGGCAGCATCGCTCGGGGAGACCATCGTCCAGCAGACTGATCATGGATGATTACCCTCATGATGCTTTTACTAGAGCAAGCAAAATCATTGTTTGAGCAAATCGAAAATTAACACTGCCTTTTATTTCTAGTGTGCTGCTGTATACTTGCTCACTATGCTGCATTACAATGAGGACATGGGCAGAGTTTGGTACATATGAGTGCGAGACACAGCCGCCACCTACCTTGATAGAGATGACAAAGTGGCCTCCATTTTTTAAAAAGTTATGGGCGTTGATGGCGACAATCCGGGTCTGGTCGGGCTGAGCGACGTCTGCAAACACGACATCCACCATTCCTGCCAGGGAAAAGGGAGAGCATTCGAGTTTAGTAAACAGCGCGAGGCCAGGCAGCACGTCTGGCTGTCCTGAGGTTTTCGCCACTGTAATTTCTCAAAAGGGTTGAATTCCTCCTCTCACCGAACGTTGGCATTAAGCGGAGTGCCGATTTGTGATCCAGAAGAGTGTTTTTTAACAGATGCCGAGCGCAGACCCAAGGGGGACAGTAACAATCAGCACCCCCCCCAAGTTTCGTGAAGATAAAATCCACGAGTGGTGCAGCGGTAGGTAGGGGCTATCGCCGTCGCTTGTTGCAGAGGTTCACAGTTCTACAGCAAGCTGCCCTGGTTAATGCTGTGGGTGTGTATTAAACTACATGCCGTCTCATTCGCAACGGACGTTAAAGATCCCCCGACGTCATTCGTAGGCGAGCCGGGCCCTTCTGTGCTGACCTCAGGGTCCAACTAAACAAATGACAACACATCGACTAAATACGTTTGCCTATTGAACTTCTTTCATGTCGTACGTAGCAAACTGTGCTAAATCGGGAAGGTGCAAAAAATATGTAAAACACAGCTGCAATCGTTGCCCCCCCCCCCCCCCCAACTCAAAAAACTTAGCAGGACCCTCTTGAAAAAGTCAAACTGCAGAAGTAGACATCGATTCGGTGTCACAAACCTCTGATTAGCACGGTTGGCTACATAAGGTGTGAAAGAAGTTCAACATACATACACACAATGTGCAACACAGGTCCAACAAACCCCAGCGAGCCAGCGTAACCATGGCGCAACACAAGCACAACAACCACAGCGCTTGTGCCAAGCTCGGTGCACTTCAAAACCATGTGAATTGTGGAAGGCTCTCTGCTGGTGGGAGGTCACAGGACAGACCTGGGTGCTGTGGGATGACTGGCAGATGTACTGCCTATGCTTCCCACTATACCACCTTCCATAATCACTTGTGCGTACAGAAAGAAAATTACACAAGCAACGTTCTATTGTTATTCATTATTACGAGTATTTATCCAAGTCTCAAGACTGTTTTTGAGGGTCCTGCTAAGAATTCACAGTTCGGGGCAATGCTGCTAAGTTGAATCCCAGTGCAACAATTTGCAGGTAATTATTCAGCATTGGGATGTTAGGTCAATAAGTGACACCGTGTCTCTTTTAGCTATGAGAACCCGGAGGAATCCCATGCAGAACAGGGGTATACAAACGCCCCATAGAAAGGCATTAGAGCCAGGAAATGAACTTAGGTCCCCTTTTTCTGAGGCGCGAGCGTCCCCACCCTGCCACCCACCTTGTCGCCATCAAACCAACCCGGAGTGACTGGTTACAAGCGGAGCCAAGGAGGCTGCGTGCAGTGGCAGTAGCAGCACCGTGTCACTCACCGACTAGCATGCGGTACTTGTGGGGGTGGCGTGCGTCCTCAATGATGGGAATGATGTTGGTTCGCTTCTTGGCCACGTTCATGAGATCCCGGCCCGATCGGTGCGAGAACTCCACGGCATACACCAAGCCTTCCTACAGGCACCACGCCGACAACACCACCGCTCGCTCAGCCTCACCGCAGTTCAAACAAGGAGATTCACATGCGTGGGGTCTGTCATGCTTTTGCAATGCGTGTCCATTAGCATGTTGGCATGTGAGCGTACGTATGTGAGCGCGCGCGTATGTGACGGTATGTGCGCGCATACGTATTAACGCGTGCATAGACACGTGGGCAAGCAAGCGTGTGCGCAAACCCACAAGTGCAACACTTACGGGCCCGACGATGTCGGAGACGTGGGACACAGTGGTGCCGGAGGCGGCGCCCAGGTACAACACCTTCACCCCGGGCTTTATGTGGATCTGGTCAACGCCGCCCAAGATGGCCGCTGCCAACTTGGAGCGAAACGGATTCCAGGCGCGGTACTCGACCTTCTGCTCCTGCTCCTGCACTCAGAATCGCGGAGTTGGGCGGGGGGGGGGGGCGAGATGGCGACGTCATTGTGGCCACAGCAATTGATGTCGTCACCACCAACCACCACCACTTTCTCCACCCTCCGCCAGATCCCACACCAGCAACAGCGGCTAGCGCACAGCCGACATGCAGCGACCTCCAAGATCTGCCGCGACAAGCCTCCGACGATCTGGAAAAAGGTCTTCTATTGACCTTGGTCACTTGGACCCGTGGAGACCACTCCCAATGCCGGTGATAGGCAGTCATATTTTTACATTCGAAGCTTGACATAAGTACGACGTACGTAAACAGTTCTGTCATTGCAAAACGTGGTCGCACTGGTGGGGAGGAGGTTATTTGTGACCCAAGCACACTTGGTATATACATTCACCTGGACTGGTTTTCAAGTGGTGTGCCGAAGGCCAGCTTCTACCGGATCTTTAAGAGCTGTGAACCAAATCTCACTGGGGACATGGCTCCAATCTTGCACTGACAAACTGTGTATTTTTAAAAAAATCTAGATTTAAAATTTCTTCAGCACTGCTTTGAATTGTTTGTTGTCCTTGTCCTCACCTCCAATTAGCAGTTGGCTACGTACGGTGCTTACATTGTGGGGTAATGATCTGAATTACTTTAGTTACCTCGTACCCCGTGAAACTCCTTTTAATTGGCATTGTCTTGGTGACCATTAGCAGGGCAGACTTTGGCGTGTTTCAGTTCTAAACGCCTATGAACCCGGGGCAGGTAGCGAACACTCAGCCACAGCCGCCTTCCTCTCTCGTCTTTGCTCGGCAAAGCAAGCAGCGCCCTGACCTCTAGTGGCCGGGTATTGAACACCCACACCTCTGGCTCGCACGAGGTGCGGACGCTCTAGTGGTCAGATGGCGAATGTGCCGCGTGTCGCACTTGCAAAACTGACTCGCGCCACCTTCTGAGCTACTCGTGCAACTATAATTGCTATTAGTTACAATTAAATTGTTAATCCTGCCCAAAGTGCCACTTGGTATCTAATGTATGTACGCGAGTGGGCTCAAGGGTACTTGAGATTTGCTGTGTGAACCCCTTCCCTGGACACTTGTCACATTAATTTCTCCAGCCATGCGGAGGACTCCTACCAGCCTGTCATCTCGGCCAACACTGCACTCAACCACCACACTAAAGGTAACGACTCTCTCTAACCCTAGCAACAACGCTTCTCTTTCTGCGTCTTCCCGCACACATGGATCCACTTAGGAAATCCCTCGCATTGTCTCATTTCCCTAAGCTCTTATGATGTTGCTCAATTTAGAAATGCGTTATGTTGCCGGCTGCTTGGCATGTTGGGGCCATCGGGCCTGTGCTCCGCATGATCAGCAACCACGCACCTCCACCGCCATCCTCTTCTCCCCGTATACAGACTCCCCGGGTACCATGTTCCGCGTGACCAGCGCATCCTCCTTCCCTCTGGCGATGAACACACCTGCGGACACACGTGGCACACACATTGTTGAGACACGGCCATCGCACACCTCACAGAGCTCGCTCTTTTGTGACAAAACTTTGCAAATTATTGCTGGCCGCCTGGCATTTTGAGTCTATGCTCAGCATTCGCGAGTTAAACACAAAAACATGCCAGTATTACAAATCACCCCACAGCGCACAATCGTGTGTAATCTCCTACGGCTGCATTAGCGCACAATCGTATAAAGATCACTGCACCCTCAAATCATAACGCTGACACGATTTGCTTCGTGAGGAAATATTCTAAAATGAGTTTCTTTACAGAGCATCCTGCGTGGAATGTTTAGAAAATTATACTGAAGGGTTTTGGGAAGAAAGGGCACAAAAAATGTATAATATTGTTAATGACCAGAGAACGTTTGCACGAACGGCGTGTTAGACCAGAGGACGCCTATTGACGCCTATTGGCGTCCTCTGGTCTAACACTGTTTTGAGACAAGGCTCAAAAGAAAGCTGACTCGACGGTCAATGGTATAGTGTATAGCAGATTGTATAATAATAAACTATTAACATTTCTTCCCTTTATTAATACTACCCCTATCCCCTCCCTTTGATGCTGCTAATCCTGCATAATGCACGGGCATAATGACTTTGAAACCCCCCGCCCATCTCCAATGCATTTCAAACGTAGTACTAATCACATACCTGCATTTCCCATAAATATGCTAAATTCCTCTTGATATGCAAATTATTTTGTCAAGGCGCACTTCCCCCCTTCCAACCCAGCTTAAATAGACGCTCCAAGCGTGGTGGTGTTTCATTCAGACGCTGTCTCCCCAACAGACCTGGTCTTCACCTGAGGACGGCTGCTTGCGTTGTGGCCGAAACGTCATGAGAATAATTTTATTATGTTTTATTTTTATTATTTTATTATTTCCCTTCTACGTGACTTTACCGAAAGAACCAAGAAGATCTTAACACCTGTTTCGTTGCCAGAAAAAAGCGGAAAAAATATTCTCATATTTTGATACTGGCAAAAGGAGGTCCCATGATGTATGACTGTGATGCTACACAGGGATCTCAGCAACCTACCTTCAGCACTGTCTCATTACAGGGACTGTGCATGATCTTGGCACCATCCACCAGCCTCACTGCACTGTCATATTTGAGGCATTCGTCTCACAAATCCCACCGATTCACATGTGGGGGGGGGGGGCAGCTGCCATGCGACAACACTTGCCTTCGTGTCTGTGCGGCTCAATCGTCACGTTCTTGCCTCCACCAAAGCCCCCGCGGCCTCCGCCTCGGCCACCTCGCCCCCGTGGAGTTCCCCTCCCTCCTCCGCGGCTGCCACCTGGAAATATACACAACTCCGCATTCACAACGCAGCACTCGTGTCCCGGCACACGCGCACAACCAGCAGACACCAGCTCTCAACGGGGTTGGGGGTTAACAACAACGCCGTTCGTGCAAACGTGAGGCGTTGAGGATGGAGAGTCCTATCCTCCTGGTGTCACAGCCCAAAAGGAATGTCTGCGCAGATTGGTGCTTCCCAACTGTGCTGTACCCAAGGGGTTACTGTCAAACCTCGCAGCGCTTTCACGGACCGCAATGCACAGTCGTGGTGTTTTGGATAAAAATCAGCATCTACACAGGTTTGAGTGGACCACTTCCCCACGCCCTTGGCTGACCGGTGGGTCCGCAGACCGCAGGTTGGAGAGCCGCTGACCTAGAAGGGAATCGAAGGAGTGGATGTGTGTGGAAACAGTGAAGGATGTGAACCGAGTTCTCACCTCTGAACCCACCGCTGCCACCGCGAAATCCACCACTACCACCTCCGCGGCCCCGGAACCCCCCTCCCCCCCCTCCGAATCCTCCTCGGCCCCCGAAGCTACCGCCTCGGCTAACGCCTCGGCCACCCCCCCCACGTGGTGAAAATCCTGTGGAACAAAAAGAACACGATTCAGATGACGCTGCACCGTCTCCTGCAACACATTCGTTGGGGCGTCACGGTGGTGAGACGTTAACTACCTCGCCTGGTATGCAGGAGGTCGTGGGTTCGATCCAGACCCTGACCCTGACACCTGTATATTTTGAGTTTGCATGTCTCTCCCCGTGGTTGCGTAGATTTTTCTCCGGGTCTTCCAATGTTTCCCTCCACGTTCAGAATCAACATCACGCGTTTAGAGTATTTGGCTGCTATATATGTCCACATCATTGGGCTATAATTTGTGGGTTGCATACAGCTATAGCGCAGCCCTCGGGGTTGTTGGCCAAGCGCGCATCCCCCCGACCGGACGTGTCCGTAGGCCGCGCTTGGAGTGGGGACTGTGACGTTGGGGGCCAAGGGCTACACCGGGAGTCGATGTTGTGCTCCAGGTGATGATGAAATTGTACACAGTGCAAGCTCCAATTAATCACAAAATTAATATTTTTTTGGAGATTTTCCCCCAACTGTACCCCCATGAAAGGAAGAATCTATTGGCATATCTTGCACTCTTTTTACATGTTTAAATAGATGGGGCATTAATCTATGTTATTTAGATTATTCGGCTACTATAAATGTCCACATAAACCACTTTGTTGAGCTATCATTTGTGGCCAGGTTGCTTTTTTGAAGAGAGCCATATATCTATATGGACCTTACCTGGTAAAATTCAAGTTTAGTTTAGATCGTGCAAGCTACTGCGCTGAACAGACTAAAACACTGCAGTGAAGACTTTGTGATGGAAGACTTTGTTTTTGCACAAGCATTATTCGTGTTTTCACGAAGCATTTGGCGATACTGCTTTGGCAGTGGCGCAGAGGAATAAATAAAACTCAACAAGTTCGACAGTAACATTGTGTGGCCTTAAACGGCAACATATTTCGTGAAGTTTCGAGCAATGGACTCTCTTGATAATACATAACATACAGACCAGAGAGATGGAATGGACGACAAGAGTTTGCAGTTGGACCATAGCGCCTGAGTTACATTTTAAAATGTTTCTAGATGAAGTTTTAAAATTGGCATTGGAATAGTTACCTGTAAGTTGATAGAGTAACAATCCGTTTAATAATCAAACATGTCCTGACTCCTCATTTTACGTGAAATTATAAAATGTTGCTAGCACACTGCATAAGAGGTCGTCGTGTTGCAGTGCGGTCTCTTATCATCCACTCAAGACAAAAATGAGAAACAAAAAAATCCACTGGTGCTAAAGCTCATCATCTAATCAGAGCGTGCGCTGCGTGTGCTACACAAGAACCCCAGGCGGAATGAACCAATAAGTTAATTTTACTCTCTGCTATAAATTAGAGGCCCAAAAGTCGAATCTTATGTTACTTTCGGGGCAACTTTGTTGAGAACTATATCAAGTTCAGTAGTAGTATTATATCAAGTTCTTTTAATTTTCACGTCTGCACCGCTGCTAACGCGGCATCATATTTTGTATCAGCTGCTCAGTTAGAGCCACGTGGAGGCAGCCTCTCAGAGGCGCAATGGAGATAAGCCAACAACAGTATTAACACGTGGGCTTTCGCGACTATCCACAATACAGGATTTCTCCACAAATCTGGCTGCCGCCTGATGATGCCGGTTGGAATTACTGGCGAAACGTCGTACTCAAGATTGTAAATGTTGTGGATTTGCTCTCCAACACACCGGTGTGCTTAACGGCACATTCATATTTACGCGATCTAACCCAAAATACTTATATTATGGAACAACATTATTGCGCGAGGATTTTACCTTCCAACTCCCAATAGTTGTAGTCCTACATACAAGTCTGTCCCACAATGGTATGTTGAATTTCTACAACGTGCAAAGACTAATTTTTATATGTTATATTCTCTTCCAGAGTTGCGCGCATAATTGATCAACACGCGGTGCGCGCGTGGTAACGGGGTGAGCGATGAGGCTTTGGGCCTCCCACGCGGTCATGCGCAGTTTCGCATTTTAACTTCGCTCGGCGCCGGCGGAGACAAAGACACACAGATAGAGATACACAGAGCGAAACAGCCAGAGCCACGAACATAATTCATCTCAGTCGCAACTCGGGAAGACCACGAGACGCGACCACACGAAGAGATTCGGAATCCCGCGTGTCGGGTTGAAAAGGCGACTCGAGAAAAGGGGCTGGAAAATGACTCCCGAGGAGGGGAGAGGATCAAACTGGGGAGAGAAGGGACGGAAAGGGAACACGGGGAAGCGACGGAGAGAAGAGACGCGACTTTGCGGATGAGTGAATGTAGGGGCTGAACGAGGTGTGAGGGCAAGACAAGAAGAGACATTTGGATTCCTCTTCTACAATATTGATTTCTCTTCTGGGTAGAAAGACGAACATAGTGGAGGGAAAGACCGAGAAGAGATAAGAGACGGAAGAGGAGAGAGATCGCGAGAGAGAGATGGGGATGGCGGTACCTGGCCTCATGCTGCAGCAGTGTGGGAGCGCGCGAGCCACGTGTGCGTCTCCTCGCTCAAGGCGCATGCGCTGTGACCTCGGAAGTCTCGCGGGCAGGAAGCGCTTCCGGGGTCACGTGACGTCGTTCCTCGTCGCGCGTGACCTCCTGACCAGGGCGATTCCGAGTCTCAGATTTGTCGCAAGGCGATTCAAGAAAGGCTACGATTCGCTATTCACGTCGTTTGCGTACCGATCAATAATTTTTCAACTGTGACTAGTCCGTCATATTTCGGCTAACGGAGTGAACAAAGCCATAGAAAGCTGATGAAGTATAAAACTGCGGAAAAATAAGACGTGAAAAGTATCGATTCCTAATTGCGAAGTTGAATCGGCGGGAGGCCCATTTGATACCATGAGCTCAAGCCGCCATCTTGCTCGGGTCACTCGTGTTGAGGCCCAGGCTCCAAACAAGTACATTTTTAAAATAGTGATTTACAAACAATTCCGGAACAAAATGCTAAACATACGGTCACCTCGTTACAGCCCTGAGCCATTCCGCTGCTGGACGAGGGCCTCACGGACGTCGTTTGAGACCATGCTTCACGCTGGCCATCGTGGTGCCACGGTGGCTCTGAGACGTTAACTCCCTCGCCTGGTGTGCAGGAGGTCGTGGGTTCGATCCCGACCCTGACGATGTCTGCCGTGTATTTGGAGTTTACGTGTTTCTTCCCGTGGTCGCGTGAATTTTTCTCTGGGTCCTCTGATTTCCCCCTCCACATTTAGAATCAACATCACGCGTTTAGAGTCGGTGGCTGCTATGCATTTACACACGATACGCCGCTTGGTTGAACTTATTTGTGACCAGGTCGCTTCTGAGCTAAATAGCTCAGCGGGCCATACCTGGTAAAATAAAAATATAGTTTAGTTTGAGCGCTGGTTGATGATGAAGGGGGGAGGCCAGGAAATGGTTCGGACATCTCTTTTAGCCACTGATGTTGGCCGTGGACGGGAACCGAACTCGGGACCACAGCGCGAGCGCGTGGCGTTGCCTGCGTTTGAACGGGAGCCGCCCTGGGAGCACGGCACAGAGCGGTGCAGTCCTCATCAGCCGCGGACAATCCACTGCCGGATGAAGGCCTCGCCAAAGATGTTGCCATCAGTTACGATCGAGGGATTACATCGTAACCTCTTGCTACTTCACGCGTGTTGGATCTGATCGCAATATTTATTGTTATTTCGCTTATTTACTAAGAAAAGCTTCGCGAAGTCTCATCACCCGGTAGAGTTCCATACATTTTCGCGATAGAGGGCGATGTTGCTGCTGTGTGTGATCACATTGGAGTAATTTTCTGGTATTTTTTCAGCGTCACACTTAATATTGACGGAAAAAATGTCTACATCTGATTGGGAACATGTCGATAACATGACATCCTCTTCAGCCGCCTCAATGTCAGCTAAATGCAAAGATAACTTGATTTCCAAGTTCAACCTCCTTGCCAAGAAGAAGCCAGATCCACACATTAAAAAGTTGGATGTTGACAAGATTGCTATTAATCGGAGCAACATTCCAATTTCCGACAGCCTAAAATCTGCTCTAACCAAAGGGTTGTTTTTCGCAGTCACCCCTAAACATATCCCAGTTGATTATATCATTGCCCAGGTCGACGTAGCCCTTAAGGGTTTGGGACACATTACTGCAGACATGGCAATATCTGAAATCGCTGCAATCCTCAAAAACTCTTAAGACACCTATTAGCAACATCAGTAAGGATGAGCGCTTTAAGCTTTCTCAATTAAAAAAGAGATGACATCGCCATCCTCTCAGCCAACAAGGGCAATGCTACAGTCATGGACAAAACCACATACAATAACAAAATTCAAGACCTACTTAATGATAGCTATACCAAAATTAAAAGAGATCCAACCAACCGCCTCCTTACGAAAACCAACAATATCACTGATTCGACATATTTAATCGAACCAACCAAGCGGTTTTCCTTAAAACCCTCTGCTGCGCGACCACCCAGATTGTATGGCTTACCAAAAATTCATAAAGAAGGTACACCCCTTTATGGATTTGACTCACCCACCTAAAAACTAGCCCGATTTCTGTTTGAGACCTTACAACCATTCACTGGTAAGACCACCTCAGCTGTACTTAACTCAGCTCACTTGGTATCGTTAATTAAGGGCATCTCACTATCTCCAGGTGATTTACTCGTTACTTTCGATGTGGTCTCTTTGTTTACCAAAGTTCATGTGCCTGACACCATTGCAATCATTGAAGATTTGTTCTAATAAGGACTGAATGCTGATGTACCGGCCCTGGTGAGACACTGCCTCACCAACAACTTTCGATGTGGTCTCTTTGTTTACCAAAGTTAATGTGCCTGACACCATTGCAATCATTGAAGATTTGGTCTAACAAGGACTGAATGCTGATGTACCGGCCCTGGTGAGACACTGCCTCACCAACAACACTTCACCTGGAATGGAACAGTCTACAAACAAGTTGAATGTACCCCAATGGGTTCACCCATATCTCCAGTTGTAGCCAATGTTTTCATGGAAAAATTTGAGACTGATGCCATCCAGGCATCCACTCTACGTCCATCCTTGTGGAAGAGGTATGTAGATGACACCTTCGTCATCTGGCCACATGGCCGACCAGCTCTGAACGAATTATTCAACCACATAAATTTCATGCACCCAACCATCAAATTCACCATGGAGGTGGAAAAGGATGACAAGTTACCATTCTTGGATGTTTTAATCGAAAAGAGACCAGATGGCTCAATGGGACACTGTACAGGAAAGCCACCCATACAGATGCCTCCCTAAAACCTGACTCCCACCACCATCCGAGAAGAATTCCATCACCAAAACTCTACACCATAGAGCTTAATGTATTTCTGACCATCACCTAGCCAGTGAACTGGAACACGTCCATAAACCTCTCAAGATGAATAGATATTCAGACGACGCAATTCGTAAAGCTATCACCGCAACCGTTGTGAAGGAACGATCTGAGGACCCAATCAAAACCATCACTTTGCCATACATAGCAGAGGCCACCAAAAAGATTTCCAAAATCATGAGCAAATAAGATCCAGGTTCGATTTAACACAGTACATAAAATTCGTGATCTGATCCCATCTGTGAAGGATGTGATCCCTGACATGCAATACCCCGGCATCTACAAACTAATCTGTGTCTGCGACAGTAGTTACATTGGGGAAACTAAGCGACATGTCTCGGACCGTGTTCGTGAACATAAAGCAGATCTGAAACACGGTAGGACCAATACCTCGGCTGTGGCTGATAGTTTTAATGCGGTGGGCTCACGAAATTGATTTCTAAAAGACGAAGGTACTTTGCAAACCCACTGGCTATCGACAAAGATTTGTTCATGAAGCCATCCATGTATATATAAACACAGAAACAATTTCAACCAAGAAGATGGGTAGAAACTGTGCAATCATTGGAAGGAAGTTAATATCCAGTTTAAGTCATAACTGGCTGTCATTTTCCCATCCTACCACCTTCCGATGTTAATTATTTTCGGCTCTGATTTTTTACATTTCCAGATTAAATTTCTCACACTAACACAGCTACCTCACACGCCATCCTCGAGGTTGCTGCTCGGCGAGCTACCATTAACATGTTAATCTCTTAAATTAACATAGCCACCTTGGCACGCTTGCCGTGGAGGATGCTCGGCGATCTTACATTAACATGCAAATTTCTACCTGGCAGCTCTTTTATTGGTGGAAAACCCACCACCACCGCAGTCGCTGGCCACAACTTTAACATTGGCTGCTGACATTTGGGCTACGCCCATTTAAAACCTTTGTAAACAATCTTGATTTGAAGCTTTTGTGACTGCAGGAATCCATACTCTTTGGTTCTTTCGGTAAAGTGACGTAGGTATTAATAAAATAAAATAAATCACGACGTTTCGAACGCAACACAAGCGCCCGTCTTCAGGTGAAAATCGCGACAGCTGCGATGTCTGCTGCGAGCAGCACGATGTATGCTCCCTTATTCTTAGGTTTTTTCGGTAAAGTCACGTAGGTAAAAACATCAAAATTAATGAAAATAAAATAAAACAAAAAATCACGACGTTTCGGAGGCAACACAAGTCTCCGTCATCAGGTGGGATCGTCACAGCCAAATTAGATGTATCAAGTGAGGCAATGATTCAAGATGTAATCCCTTATAAGCAAGTTGAAGGGGGGGAGGAGAGGGGGGGGGAAGCTCATCAGAATGTGGTAGCCAATGAATGGAAACGTATCGGGAGGGAGGGGGGGCGGGGCTCAAAGGCAGCACGGAGTGCTCAACACATGGGGCAGAGAGGGGGAGGGGAGGCCTGATACACATGATAGACAAAAGAACGAGAATGCCCCTGTTTATACTAATGCTGGCTGAACAATGAAGAGAGTACTGTTAAAAAATAACTGGGGATGTTAACACTCGGTAAAGTAAAGTAAAATAGTGCCTGTCAGATAAGATGGTCCAAAAAAGTGTAATTAAGTCTTTTTTGCGTGGTTGATAACATCTTTCCAATGATGGGTACAAACGTAGTAATCATTGGAAAGATGTTATCAACCACGCAAAAAAGACTTAATTACACTTTTTTGGACCATCTTATCTGACAGGCACTATTTTACTTTACTTTACCGAGTGTTAACATCCCCAGTTATTTTTTAACAGTACTCTCTTCATTGTTCAGCCAGCATTGGTATAAACAGGGGCATTTTCGTTCTTTTGTCTATCATGTGTGAAGTATTGGAAAATGACGGCAGGAACTCCTTGACGGGTAACACACTTTTTATTAAATCTTGACGTGTCACAATACAACGTGTGGTCTCTATTCTTCTGACTATACACTTCACTTAACTCGTGTAGACTCTATGCCTCTGGCTACACACACTTCACTTGACTCGTGTAGACCCTATGCCTCTGGCTACACACAATGCATTCGCCTCTGGGTTACACAGAGTCCCGGTCCCCTTAGGACAGCGGGACTAGGTACCGCAGGGCCC